TTATTAAGCATTCTAAATATAGTCATTTCAATCGTAAAATTTACAAATTATTTTCTTTTTTCTTCTAATAAATCTTGGTACCCTTGTGACAAATGCAGAAAAGCCCTAAGCTAACATAAAATGAACTTTTTATGAAACCTATGAATCTAGAAGAGAAGCAATTGAATTAGTCTTGGCACCAGCCTAAAACACACTTAGATTGGAAAATTACCAAATTTAACCCAATGAAACTCAGTTATGATTTAATGAAAAGCAGTTAAAACAAGTTTTGAATTAATCTTTCTTCCTAATCATGAAAAAACACAATTATGGCATACATAAAACTTCATAACAATGTTTAGAAAATTATTTTGTTCCAAAAACAAATTAGTTAGAACATTACTATCTGAAATGATAATTTGAAAAGAGTTAACAATGATAACCTTCCTTTCTGCATAAGAAGGTAGATTGCGAAAGAAATATAGTGCTGTGTTCATTCTGCACTGTTTCAGCTATAGAAAATGGTACTGGTGTGAATTCTTTTTTACTGAAAGCTATTTAAACTAATAAACTTGAATGTCATAAAGCGGTAGTTGAATTTTCTTTTTTCTAAATTCTTTGAGATAGCTACCTAGCTAAATAAAACATAAAATGGATATAAAATCATTAATGTTTAGATTCAGAAAGCATCTTTTAATCTATCAGTTGCATAAATTTTCAAACCTGACATAAGCTGGAATTTAAATGTCTCCTAAAGAAGGGAAATTTCTCAAGGTTAGATCTCTAAACAAAGGTACACAGGAACTCTAGACTTCACCTCTCTCACACATAGATAAAGTGCAACCTACCAAGGAAAAAATAAATTATTCTCTGAGGCAATGGTTTCCAACCTGTGGGATATAAATCGCTAAGGATCCCATGGTTATGGCAATGGGCTTGAAAATTCTTTTGAATTTCACCTAAATAAACTGTATTTTAATTGGTTTACCAATGGTTTACATGTTTGCATACTAATGCCTTTTAACTATTAATAAAACAGATTCATTTGCAAAGCCAAAGACAATTTATAGGCTGGAAGTTTCAATCCCGCAAAGGTAATAATTTTACTCCAACTAATCCATAAACCTGATCCATCTCCAACCTAAATCCCAAGAGGGTTTGTTTTAAGGGTAGTGAAAAACAAAAATTATCTAAAAGATTCTGAAGTTTGTTGAGAAGAATAATGTCTGAGAATAACCAAGATCGATTTTTTTTTAATGAAGGCTAATGTAGAAGAATATGCCTTGATTGTACTAAAACATATTATAAAGATGTAGTAACTTAAGTATGATGGAGGTCTAAAGATCAGGTAGCCACACTCTTTTTTCCTGGTTTTGGACTTTAAACCTTGTTTCAGAAGAACTTCCCTATCTCAATATATATGTATATTTTTTACTTAACACTGTTTGTTATTTCATTTCTATATTTTTATTTAAATGTTTAATATTTGCTCCATGTAAAATTTATTATTGCATATATATAAGGTGAAAAGTGAATATCATTATTTCTTATAAATATCCAGTAATCTCATTAATATATAATTATTTGTTTACTTACTGATTTAAAACATTATCTTGTGTAAACCCTCATAAATATATAATAACCAATAGAATTAAATATTTCTTATTAAGAAATTGGCTAATAATAGTAAATGTTATAATAAACAAAACTCATGATGTTATTATAGCAATTTTTTCCATGACTAAAATGATCATTTAGATAAATATCTACCAATGTTCAATATCTCCTTAGTTTATCAAGTAAAAACAAATAACAAATTTCAGGACTATATATATATATATATATATATATATATATACACACATATATATATCAATTATTATAGAATATTTTTGTGTTTCTGCTTAAATTGACACCAAATCTGATTTTTGCACGATCTTTTATTTCCCTCTATACTTCTCCTAATTTTTACTTTTTGTTAATAAATGCCTTCCTTTCCTGAGTTTTCACATGATTTTTCCCTATGGATATGTCTCCTTCCAAACTAACATATTAAGCACACGTTCAAATGAAAGTAGTGTCCTAAGCACTTGGCTGTATAGTGATGGCAGATGCCTCAGACATCTATACATCTGTGTGTAGACAAATAGGAGAACTGAGCTCTCTGGAATTGGAAAAGTCTTATTCTCTCTCTTTTTCTTTCTGTCTTCCATTTGTGCATCAATCTATCTGAAAAGAAATTTTTAGTAATCTCTGAAGAATAGAATTGGAATTTAACATTTTTAATTTTTGTGTTGAGAAAACACTAATAAAAGTAAAAATGTCAATGGGCATCTGAATTGATAAACAAGATTACTGGAAGAGTTGGCTTTGCCTCATGAAGTTTCTCAACTTTCAACATCAAATCATAGTTAAATAGTGATCACCTGCTTTCTTTCTAGCCATCATTGATTTATTAGTCTGTATCAGTAGATTGTTAAAAACTTTGCAGAATAAGATTTTATTTAGTATGATAGAACAACCATTTGAAAAGAAATAGCAACAACACTTTAATTTCCGTAAGGTGATTTTTTTCTGTATCTGCTTTTAAAAAGTGGCCTCCACTGCTTGTTTCCTCCCCTTAGGAGACTAGATTTTGTGGCCTATCACCTCAATCACTCCCTTAACAGTGTAATTGTCTGTTAATTATTTGTCCTTCTCTTGTACTCCTTGGCAAAAATCGCAGTCCTGGAAAATTTAAATCGTCTGATTTCTCAACTGCTATGTGAGGAATGCTGAGTAAGACTAGAAAAAAAAAATGCACAACCTTGAAAATTGGAGGCATTCCAAATTTATAGCTTCTAGTTCAAGCTGGACCTTTTGTGCATCTTAACATTATTCTAGGTCACTAGCATCCTACCAAGTCTCTTGGATCATCAGTTATCCCTTGTTCATATTTCACAGTGGCTATGTTGAACCATCTCCATTTCCATCATCTCCTGCTCTACCACCTCCTGCTGCCTCACTGCCAATAGGCAGTCTCCTGCCCAACAAAAAAACCAGAACCACAGAAAAAGACTCCACCTATTCCCTCTCCCCCGACCCACCCATTTGCCTGCATGCATATTCATCATGCTTCCATCCCTTTGGCCAACATTGTTTTCCCATCTAAAGTGAATTTCTCTGTCAAAGCTTCTATTTCCGTCTCTAATCTGCTTCTTTCCTTAATAAGGATCTTATGACAATCAATACTCCTTCTTTCTCCTGTCTCTAGCTTTTTTTTCCATTTAACATTTAAACATGCTTAAGTCTGCTTCTTTTGTTTACTCCCTTCATCAACCCAGTATGTTCTTGCTCTTTCGCCTCTTCTTAGCCAAAGTTCTTAAAAAGGTTTTCTACACTCAACATTTTCACGTTTTTATCTCCCATTGACCCCTCAAACTCTGTAATCTAGCTTCCTACCAGGCTTAATTTTGCTTTACAGATTCTGTGCTACTGTTTTTTATGTCTAAAAATATGCTTCCACTACTTAAGCTTTTAGGTTTCAAGTTTGATGTCAACACCCCCATAAGGAATTTCTGACTCATTTGTCACCCTTTGTTTACAGAATTAGATGCCTAACTTAGATGCCATTATTATAGCACTTAATGCAATTAATTTTAATTGACTGTTAATTTTTCTGTCACCCAAATAAGAGTGTATGTTCTATAAGAGAGATATAAAGTCTCTTCATAATTGTGTTTTTAGAGCTTACTGTATGTAGAGCCTGGCTCATATAGATGCATGTAGATGTACTATCAAAAACGGTCGGATGATTGATGTTAGTCAGCTGCCCAGAAAGTTGAGAGATAATGGAAAAAAACTTGAGATACCGGAGTAGCTTAGTTGGCAGGTCAGAGGACCTGCATAATAAAATTTAAAATAAATCAAAAAGTGTTATTATCAGAGATATATTGCCCATTTTATGCTGCAATCATCTAGCTGACTAGAGATTTTTAACAGTCCCATAACTCATCATCATGTTGATCCGAAAGCCACTATTCCATGTCAAATGGATAACATCAATGGCTCCCTCACCACCGACTTCCAATAGTTTTCAAAGCAGGAAAGAAGTACCATGTGCTTATATTATATTTTCAATTTTTATTAAACTACCTAATTGAACAGATAGCTTGGATATATTCTGCTTTATTAGGTATTAAAAAGAGATTCAATAGTGCAAATGGTAATTCTCATTTAGAGTTCTTGTTATGGCACCAATTTTGATAGGTAGAGAGGTGCCAC